TTGGCAAAGATCACGGAGGAGAAAGTCATCAATTTTTATATAATAATATTTGCTGCAGGTTTGGCGTGCCCAAAGTGTTAATATCTGACAATGGAACTCAATTCAATGGCAAGCGAATTCGAGCATGGTGTGAGGATATGAAGATCGAGCAACACTTTGCCTCTGTCGCTCATCCACAAGCCAATGGCCAAGTCAAGGTGACCAACCGAATTATACTGAATGGGCTAAAAACAATGCTGGAAAATGCCTAAGGGGCGTGGGTCGACGAGCTAACTTCAGTACGTTGGGCATACCGCACAACCCCGAGGTCGACAACAGGAGAAACCCCCTTTAGTTTAGTCTATGGGATGGAAGCACTGCTGCCAGTCGAGGTCGAGCTATCATCGCAAAGGTCGAGAACATATGACCCGGAGAAAAATAAAGATCTCATGACGGCGGCTTTAGATACTATTGAGGAGCTACACGAAAGGGCAGCGATCAGGGTGGAGACGTACAAACAAAGGATGCGAGCAGTTCATAACAAGAAGGTGAAGGTCCACAGATTCGAAGTGGTGACTTGGTTTGGAAGCGCGTGGATGTGCTCAAACACGTGGGGAAGCCAGAACCAAATTGGGAAGGACCATACCTGGTCGAGAAAGTGCATGCAGGAGGAGCATACTCTCTAAAGGATGCAGAAAAAGGATCACTTTCCAGATCAGGGAACATAGCTAATTTGAAAAAATATTATGTGTAGAATTTTTGCTTTTTTCAAAAAGATTTTGGAAGTTTGAGCAAAGATGTAACTCGCGAATCCTGCTAAGAAATTAATGGAATTCAGTTATCTTTCGATATTACTTGCTTTATGGAGTACCTTCTTATGCTTGGAATGTTGGAATGATTTGGATGACAAGATACATGATATGGTCGCTTGTTTGGAACATCCCTTGGGGTGGGCAGGTTGGTCGATTGCTCACGCCCTCGGGCTGGGTGACCTCATGTTTGGAACATTTTTCGCGGGTGGGCAACTGTGAAGACCCAAACCCACCATGACTAAGGCCCTCGGGCTGGGTGGTCGCTTGTTTGGAACATCCCTTGTGGTGGGCAGGTTGGTCGATTGCTCATGCCCTCGGGCTGGGTGGCCTCCTGTTTGGAACATTCCTCACGAGTGGGCAAGTGTGAAGACCCAAACCCACCATGACTAAGGCCCTCGGGCTGGGTGGTCTCTTGGTTGGAACATCCCTTGGGGTGGGCAGGTTGGTCGATTGCTCATGCCCTCGGGTTGGGTGACCTCCTGTTTGGAACATTCCTCGCGGGTGGGCAAGTGTGAAGACCCAAACCCACCATGACTAAGGCCCTCGGGCTGGGTGGTCGCTTGTTTGGAACATCTCTTGGGGTAGGCAGGTTGGTCGATTGCTCACACTCTCGGGCTGGGTGACCTTCTGTTTGGAACATTCCTCGCGGGTGAGAAAGTGTGAAGACCAAAACCCACCATGACTAAGGCCCTCGGGCTGGGTAATCGCTTGGAACATCCCTTGGGGTGGGCAGGTTGGTCGATTACTCACGCCCTCGGGCTGAGTGGCCTCTTGTTTGGAACATTCCTCGCGGGTAGGCAGATGTGAAGACCAGAGCTATCACGACCGAGATCTTATGATCACGTGGAGGGACATGAGGACAAGAACGCCAATGAAGCCAATGGAGCCACAGGTAAACTTCCGAGCCCAGGAGACGAGTACGAAGGCATAAGTATAAGAGAAGAAATACCACAAAGCCTAAAACACACCATGATTAAGACCATGAGGCTGGATGGTCGCATGCTTCGACCACCTCTGAAGGTGGGCATGTGTTTAAAATTTAAAACCCATCATGTTTAAGGCCATGAGGCTGGATGGTCGCATGCTTCAACCACCTCTGAAGGTGGGCATGTGTTCAAAATTTAAAACCCATCATGTTTAAGGCCATGAGGTTGGATGGTCGCATGTTTCGACCACCTCTGAAGGTGGGCACGTGTTCAAAATTTAAAACCCATCATGTTTAAGGCCATGAGGCTGGATGGTCGCATGCTTCGATCACCTCTGAAGGTGGGCATGTGGCCAAAATTTAAAACCCATCATGTTCAAGGCCATGAGGCTAGATGGTCGCATGCTTAGAGCACCTCTGAATGTGGGCATGTGTTCAAAATTTAAAACCCGTCATGTTTGAGGCTATGAGGCTGGATGGTCGCATGCCTTGATCACCTCTGAAGGTGAGCAGGTGTTATAAATCGTGTTGATAATGATTGATTGAAAGTAAGTGTGCAAACACAAATACATGCGTGGAATAGGTGTTGGTTATAGGATAATGTTCATCGCGAGCAAAGACACGTCAACTCACAAGTTTCAGTTACCCAGTCGAGCAGTCAGTCGAGATTACCAAATTGTAATACAAACGAAGATAAAGAAGCGAAGAAACAAAAATGATTCGAACAAAACATTTTCATTGCAAGAGATTACATCATTTTCATCAAAATACAAATCCAAAATCTAGGAGAAACATGCTAGAGTAGAATACTGTGCATTCCAATCAGATTGGATCTATTATACTTGTTTATATAATTTAATGGTATTTATATATTATATGAGGCATTACTTTATCTTATGTATAAGCATTTATATTATATTTTCACATATGATAAAGTCCTTAGATCATAATATGCTACAACAACATGGTTACGCATAGAGATGGTAATCATGGACCATGTCTTTAAAGCTGTGATCTTAAATAAAGGCCTCGTTTGGTAAACGCCTTTTTGCCTAAAAAATAGCTTTTTTAACCACTTAGCTTGTTTGACCATTTTGATCCGCTAAAAAAATGGTTTGGTAAAAAGCTTATACAGTTAGCGTTTTTGGGTCTATCCGCTAAAATGAAATACGCTGGTATTTGGAGCGTTTTCATTCAGCGTTTCTAAGATAAGAAATAAAGAGTCTTGATTGTCCTTGCCCTTTCTTTTCTCTCATAGCTTCGATCTTTAATTAAAATTCTAAACTCTCTTCGCCCCTTAGATCTGCATCGACGGAGAATCGTTTGCATAATTTTGAAAAAAATCCACAAGTTGAAGAGAATAAAATTAGATCCACAAGAGGTATGTTCTACTCCAATTCTTTTAATTGAAGAAGTTGCCTGAAGTTGGGTTATTTTCAATTTTAGTGGGTTATTTTCAGTTTTACCGAATAATGATACACAATTTTTGATAAACTTCCATGTTTGCACTTGCAATGATATTTGTAGATTTTAGATGTACAGTGTTAAGATGAGACTATTACAAACTATTGGCAATATTAGGTTATTTGCATACACAGATGCATTTTGTACTCATTGTTTTGTGCAATTTCATTTTGGTTTTCTCACTTTTATGATGAAAAAAAAAAAAGTATTTGTATCATGTTCTTGGTAAATTCTGTGGTGTGGTCTCCAAATTAGGTATTTTATGGTTGGATTAATATATAAACTTAAACAATCTGTGTGTTTGGGAATTGATTGATGTAATTGTGGCTTGGGACGGACTGTGATGCTTGAATACATATTTGTCTCAAAATAACATATGTATATGTATCAGAAATATCATATGTAATTTATCATGATATATAATTAAGGCAAAATGGCAGGTTTTAACACGACCTTTACGTGTTTGGCAATTTAATCACGACTTTCAGACTTTGTCAGAAAAATACATGACCTTTACATTTTTGGCAAAATGATACACGCCGTTAACGGCCGATAACGGAAAGCTGACGTGGCAATTCTGTAAGCCTGCCACGTGTCACAATTTGCCACATGTCGCTGACGCCACGTCAGCTTTCTGTTAACGACCGTTAACGGCGTGTATCATTTTGCCAAAAATGTAAAGGTCATGTATTTTTCTGACAAAATCTGAAAGTCGTGATTAAATTGCCAAACACGTAAAGGTCGTGTTAAAACCTGCCATTTTGCCTATAATTAATTATGTGTAGTATTAATATTATTTTGGTACTAAAATAATTCTCATTTATGATGCATATTATATATTAGAATCCTTTAAATTCTTATGCCCATTAAGTGATAAAGTTGCAAGGTTTGATTATGTCCCTAGTATCAATATGTATGTTGCTCTGTCTTTTGTGAACATGATATTCCAATTGCCTGCAAACTTGATTGTGGAGAAACTCATGTTTAGGACTGAAATGCAACTCTGATGTGATAATCTTGTATCATGTTTCAATTTCTTTGTGTATGCTTTAATTTATATACTTGGAATTGATCTGTAGGATAAATATTTATTTCGAAAAAAAAAAATCAAAATTATGATTGGAAACTGAAAAGTTTGCTGAATCTATTTTTGGATATTCAAGTGTTGAAATAACAATATTCTCTAGCACTTTTTAAATTTGAGGAAATTATGTTTATATGCCCATAACTTCATTGCCATTTGTAAACATTTGAGTCCATTAACATTTGAATGCTAAAAAATAAAATCAGTAACTATTCAATGCATGCCAATAAGTCCATTAACATTTTTGTGCTAATTTAAAAAAAGAAAAAACTTGGTAATATAGTGTAGTACAATGTGATAGCTCCTTAACATGAAGTATTATGCTTGCTGAGTGACAAAAGGGAAAAAGGTTAATCATAAAATGCATACAGTAGCAGCATCATTGTGCATGTAGTGCATCTCATTAACATGAAAGTATTTACATAGTTTTTTAAATTTTATTTTATGTTTGGAATTTATTTGAATTTTATTTTATGTTTAGATGAAAAACAACAAACACAAGAATATAGTTGAAAATGATGGAGGTGAACAAGGTAACAGAGGAGGTAGATTTAATTGGTCCAAATAATTAATATTCCTCCTTTTTTATCTTTGCATCGAATATGCTGAAAAGAGTAGGGAAAAAAGTGGGGCTATTATCGGTCAGAGAGTGGTTTGGAAAAAGGTAGAAATCGAGTTTCAAAAAAGAACTAGTTTGCCATGGGATAAAAATAAACTAAAAAATAAAGTGGATTGGATGAGAAGTAGATGGAGCCTTTGGAAGCAATTGAAAGGAAAAGAAACTGGATTAGGGTGGGATCACATGAAAGGAACTATTGGTGCTACTGATGAATGGTGGGATTTGAAAATTAAGGTTTGTTTACTTTTAAGTTATTTGACTTAGTTTTAATTTTTAAACAATACAAATCTTAGTTGTATATTCACTTGTTTTGTTTGTAGGAAAATCCCATGTTTGAAAAGTTTCGTGAAGAAGGGATTGAATCGGAACTTGAATGTAGAATGGATCAAATTTTTGCTATTTCCGCCCAAGGAAATCTTAAATTTACTCCAGTGTCTACACAACCAAAAAATGTGATGCATGAAGTAGATAAAGTGTATATTCCTTCTCCACTTCATGAGAGCGGTAATGATAATTGTGGTGGTGATAATTATTGTGCAATAGATGAATCATGGGATGAGGTATGGAGAGTGGTTAGCCCGTCTCCCACATCTACCCATATATCCTCTCTTGGAGACATTCAAATTGAAGTGGATGGTAATAGAAAAGGTAAAAGGTCTTTTGTTGGTGGCTCCTCACAAAGTAATAAGACTTCAAAGACTAGCTCAGGTAAGAGGGGATGTGTTGCAACAATACAAGATATGCTAGGTGGAGTGATAGAAAATATTTCAGAAAGAAACCACTCAACTGAAGAAATTACCACTTCAATGAAAAGTATGATGAGCATGCATATGGAAATAGTGAAGTCGATGAAGGATAGATCACAGTATGACCTTGGAGATGCTATGGGGAAACTATGTACCTTATCGGATTTGCCGGCTACTTCACCAGAATTTTTCTTTGCTTGCACGATGTTTGAAGATCCACAAAAAAGAACTATTTTATTTGGATTGCCGGATGATAACAATAGGGTTGAATACATTAAGTACATGTATAAGGAGAATAAGAAATAGATGGTTAGGTTTATGATGATTTATATTATTGGGCTACGTGATCCTAAATTATGTTTTTTACTTTTTTGTTTTTTTTGTGTGTGTATCTCATGAAGTAATTTAGTTTATGGACTGTAATAATTCTAAGACATATTTTTGTTGCTAGTTTGTTTTGGTATATGTACTTGCTACACTATTTGTAGTTTATTCAATTAAGTTACTTATCTTATTGTTGGGTTGTAAAAAATTATTTAAATGCTTGCAGGCATGGAAAATAATGATATGGTAATTAGGCAACTTCTCCTACATGAGCAACAATATCTTCATTGCCTAGAGTACTTGAAAGAAGAAGATGAATTTTGGGATATGATAACTTGTGCTACAGGTTATGCCTATTGTTATTTTTTAAATCATATATATAAGGACCCATGCATGACATCTTTTTTGATTGGAGAAAGTTGGATGAATGAATTATTGAATGGTCATGAAAAACGATGTTTTAATGCATTTAGAATGAACCAAAGCACGTTTCGCCAGTTATGTCTAGATTTGGAGAATATATACGGTTTAAGGCCATCAAATAGGATGTCAGTTTTGGAGAAAGTGGGTTTATTTGTATATGTACTTAGCAAGGGTGCTCCTAATAGAGATACCCAAGAGTGTTTCCAACATTCCGGTGAAACAGTAAGTAGAATTTTCAAACAAGTTTTAGATGCTATGGATAGCTTTTCAAGGGACATACTTGTACCAAAAGATTCTGAGTTCAAGGATATTCCAACATATATTTCCAATGATGACAGATATATGCCACATTTCAAGGTAACTATTTTGTTTCTTGTATAATGATTTGTTTATATTGAAAATATGTATGATAAAATTTTCATGTCTTATTAGGATTGTATTGGAGCTATTGATGGTACACATATTGCAATAACCGTACCTGAAGAGGATCAAATTCGCTACAGAGGAAGGAAAGGGATACCAACTACAAATGTCTTAGTGGTCTGTGACTTTGATTTGTTGTTCACATATGTTTTAACCGGTTGGGAGGGATCAACACATGATTCTCGTATTTTTCTTCATACGATCAATAATCCAGCTCTCAATTTTCCAAAGCCGCCAATAGGTATTACACAATTTTCATTTATATGTTGTTTCACACACACAGACACACAAATACATATACATATATATATATATATATATATATATATATATATGTATGTGTGTGTGTGTGTGTGTGTTTGTGTGTGTATTATGGCCTTAATTGTAATATAACTTGTGTACGTTTAGGTAAGTATTATTTGGTGGACAAAGGGTACCCAGAAAGAGAAGGTTATTTAACGCCTTACCCGAGGACAAGATATCATCAATCAGAGTTTCGTAGTTCAAATCCAAGGGGATCTCAAGAAGTTTTTAATCGCGCTCATTCATCCTTAAGAAGTTGCATTGAACGAGCTTTTGGTGTCCTTAAGGCTCGATGGAAGATATTACAAAAAATGCCGAGATATTCATTAATGGATCAAAATAGGATAAGTTGTTCATGTTTTGCACTCCACAATTATATTAGGAGAAGCACAATTGGTGATCCGGGCTTTAATATAATTGATGCGAATCCTGAATTCATACCTCCTGATGTTTTTCAAGATGTTGAAACTGCTCAAGGTGATGGAGAGACGAGGACTCGAGAGATGACCATCGTTCGCAATAACATAGCTTCAAGTTTAATGGCATCTAGACGTTCATAGAACATTACTTCTTTTTTGTTATTTTTCCCTTATTATCTTTTATTTTCATAACACAATTTGTAATTGGATCATGTAAGTTTTTTTTTTTTTTTT